TCATTGGCGACACTGAGACGACAACAGATCCAATTGAAAATGTTGTAAAGGATCCAAATTTTGACACACCGTTAATCACATTTCCAAAGGTAATAGTAGCCAGGTGCTGTAAGGATAACCATGAGAGCGAGATCTCATATGCGACCACAGTCGATGGTTATGTCGCAATTGCGTAGGTTACATTTTAACTGCTTCATCCCGGATTCGACTTTTCAGCGATTCTTTCCAGATTTTTTAGAGTCTAGTTCATATCTAGAAAAATTTTAGTCTAGAAGTTGCCCTCAACTAAAAATCTGCGGTGTCAATGGGAAGCAGTTGTGAAATAGCAATTGTTTGTGGACGCGTACGAGATATATGAGTGCACAATTTAAAGCATTTCACTCAGCATTTACGGTTATCTGATCTCATTACTTGAGGTCTATCTTTCTCACCTAAATCTCACTTATCGCCTACAACATCAGGTTTCTCTCCCTTCGGATCTTCAATTCAGTCCACCGCTTGTGATAAATTTATACGACACAAGAGCGTTTAAACGGCAACCTCTTATTGGCGTTTGTCATATCATGGACTTTGCAAAATATACTCGGATACCTTCAAAAAAGGTAGCTTGAAAAACCAAGTAAGGAATAAAAACGTACTGCAAGGGTTCTATAGAAAGTGGAAGAAGAAAAGTCCGATTGGGATGAATATGAGAAGCACATGGAAGAGGAAGACGCTGCGTTGGCAGCTACTCCGCTCATACCATCGCTTCGTAAGGAAGATATGCCGAAATTGGATTGGTGGAGCAAGTATTACGCTTCGGATGGCCATTACGAGAAAGCGCCTGGATTTGAAGAGTAGGCTGTTAAATAGATTGAATATCTAGAGAACGATCTCATCTATTTTTAGATCAGGGATAGAATATCTAACGATTTTCAAGGAGCCACTTGAATGCGTTAACAACTATAATGGTTTCCAAGATTTTTTGGATACTTTCACCTTTGTGAAAAGCTCAATGGTAGATTGTGCATAGATGAATGATAACATACAAA